CAGGGCGCTGCTCGGAGTCCGGGAAGCGGCTGGGGCAGAGGCTTTGGAGTCGCCGGGTTCCCCGAGTCTCCGTGACACCAACTCCCTCGGTCTCACGCGGCAGGAGCACGCGCGCACCCACGCACCGCCCCCGGGGCGGGTGGCGAGGCCCCCCGCCAGGTGGCCAGGTCTTTCAATCCCTGCACACGGAAGCGGGGAAGGCTCGACCCCTGCCTCCCACGATCCCGGGTTCAGATACAGCCAGAGGCTCCAAGCCTAAAAGACGGGCAGGAAAGCCCCGCGCGGAGGTGCACTTGCGGGGTCCGATCGCAGGGCCAGAGCGTCTCGCGCCACCTGCCCCTAACGAGGCCCGAGTTGAGGGCAGGATTTTGAATGCGCCCCCAGCTCTCCGAGGGCTCGCAAGGTCTTTGGTGTCCCTGGGAGCCGGGCACTGGGGCAAATTCCAAAATCTCGGGAAGGAGAGGCGCAGGGGCCCGCTGGAGGCCACCACCCCGGGGGAGAAGCCTGGACTCCACGGGGCTCCTGGGAGGTGCAGACCACGACCCCTGCTCCGAAATTCGCCTCTTTAAGTATTCACAATCGCCATTTATGGCTGGAGGTGCGAGCTTCTCACGTTCTGGTTTATTCCCATACCAACAGGAAAACATTCTTGCAAGTCCGCACTTTATATCTCGTGAGAGAGAGACTCGGAGAAGCTAAGTAACCTGGCCCAAACCGCACAGCTAGGAAGTAAGCACCATAACTCCTCCCCAGAGAGCCGGCTCCAGGTAGGAGCTTACGCTGCCCCCGTGACAGGCAGCCGGCGTGGGTCCCAGGCCGACTTCCGAGGCCAGGTGGAGGGACGTCCTGGACCGGGCCTGGGTTCCGCCCAAGCAGGCGCGGGGTGTAGGGTCTAGCAAGGCAGCCCAGGCGCGGTGAGGCCGGGGAGCGAACAGGCAGGCGGGAGACCTGCACACACGTGTGGGAGCAGGCTCTGGATTCCCTCTCTCCCTCTCTCCCCTCTCCCTCCTGCCGGGCGCAGCGCCTTTCCATTCCGAGTTGATCTCTTCCTGCAATCACGATCCCTGCATCTGAAGTTTCCCCGGCCTCCTTTCTGGGGTTCGTGTGAATCTGTCTACGTCTGACTCTGGGTCTCTTCCCTCCCCGGAAAGATTAGGTGTCTCCGGGTCAGCAGGTTGCCGGTCTGAGAACTGAATGGACGTCGGCGGGTGGAATGGTTCCCTCTATAAAGTCCGGCTGTGTGGGGGCCGCGTGCAGGGCGTGTGGGTGCTGGCGCTGTTCGGTTGTGCGTCGGCTGGGCGAATGTGCCGGTTCGGTTGTGTGCGGCTGCTGACGTGCGCTAACTGCGCGTGTGCGGCGTGTGTTGGGTGGGCGTGGCTGCTCCGTGTGCTGCGCGTGTCGGAATTGTGTGTGGCTGCCGCCGCGTCGTGGTCAAGACGCGTGCGGGCGCATGCGCTGCGCTTGTAGGCTGGCCGAGCAAGTTCGGAGGCGCCGGTGGACAGCAGGGCTTGGGGCCGCGGGAGGGCGCTGTGGAGGAGCAGCAGGGTGACGCGAGTTCCCCCCGGGCCAGCCCGGCCGCTGTGCCCGCTGGGGTCGCCAGCTGGGGAGTGGAGCTGTAGGGATTTCCGGGAGTCCGGGTGGGGGCCCCGGAAGACTTGGGAGGGGCACCTGGTGGGGGTTCTGGGGGCGTCCGTGGCGGGGACTGTCCCCGCCGAGCGGTGGTTTGAGCGAGTGGCGGGAGGGCGGGAGGGAGCCAGAGAGGCCGCGCGGCCCCGGGGGCCCGGCCAGGCCGGCGCCAGCCGCCGAGTTGAAAGGCGGCCGCGGCCTCTGCTCGCAGCTTCCCATTGAGCCCCCGAGGGTTCCGGGCGGGGCGCAGGCCTGGACCTGGCTGGGCTCACCTCGGCGTCTGGGGTCACGAAAGGGGACACAGCAGTGAGATGCGCGCCCGCAGTCCCCGCCTCGAGAGTGGCCGTCTTCAGGACGCGAGTGGAGAAGCAAACCCTAGGACGAAGCGCAGTGGATGCGAGCTCCCCGGGGAGGGCAGAGCCTTGCGGGTCAGACGCCGGGATGCCGCCGACCTGTCCCGAGCTGGGCACCCCGGTCCCCGCCACCCGCTGGCCTCGCCCCTGCCCAGTGTCCAGGCCAGGGACGCCCTGGTCCTGCGGCGCAGTCAGAAGCCGAGCCCACAGCCCGAGGCTCCCGCCAGCGCCCACGGACCGGCGAGACGCCCGTCACTGCTCGGGGCAGCCCCGCGAGCCAGGCCTCGGAGCAGCTCGACCCAGAGCTGGGCCCAGGTCCCCAGCACCCGGTTTTCCAGGGACACTCGCACTGGGGAAAAGCCATTCTGGCACTGGGTGACCCTCCACTTGAGGGGCACGGGCAGAGCGAGGAGAGCGTAAAGTCTATGTTCGAGTCCCTGCTCTGCCTCTTAACTGTGAGATCTTGAGAAAACCAGATCCCTTCCCGGGCCGGGCCGCAGTCCTCCCGGCTGGAAAAGTGCAGATTCCTAGGTTTGCGGCGCAGGGCGGAGCCGGCTGCGAGCGGTAACCTTTGGCACACAGTAGGCTCTGAGCAGCGCAGTGGGCGGCTGCTCCGCACGGCGAATCCTGAGGTCCTAGCCGGGGCAGGAAACATCCATAAAGGATCAGGCCCGGGTCCTCTGCCCACAGCGCAGCGCCGTGGTTTGTTAACTGGAAACTGAGTTTGGAGGACTGGAGTGGACGAGAAGCGGAGTGCGGGGCCCTGCAGTGAATGCCCTCGCGACCCGACAGAATGTGGCCCGGAGCGTCACCTCACGCCGAGTCACCCTAGAGCTGCGCGCCTTCCCGATCCAGCCAGCATTTATTGAGCGCCTTTTGTGCGCACGCCTTGTGGAGAAAAGGAATTCGGAGGCTAACGGGGGAAAAAGAAAGGGCCCGACGAAAAGAAATTTTAACAAAAAACCCCAAGGGGCCCGAAGTAGAGGGAAGTCCGGGCGGCACTGAGGGTCGAGACTCGAGGGCGGGGTCCCGGGGCGGCCAGGCCCTTTCCACAGGGACTGGGGCGCAGGGGGCGGGGAGGCGCGCCCGCCTCGCCTGCAGCTATAGCCTCGCTGGAGCCGTGGAGCGTCTGCAGAGCGCGAACCGTTGCTCATTACCGCAATTATGTTGCTCTAAATATGCCTCGACCCTAAATTACCAAATTCAGAGGAGCCAGGAGGCCCTGGAGCCCGGCCGGAGGAGATACCCGATCCCGCCCCGCCACTCCCCTATCCCCAAGGAGCGGAAAGGATTCTAGCGCTGCAAACGTGCTTGAGCTGAGAAATCTCAGACCCGGTCGGTATTTCCTGGGAGTCTTCCTGGACTGGTGGGGGATCCCCAGGCCCATTTCGCAGGTGAGGAAACCGAGGTAGAGAGATGGCGCGAGCTAACCTATCCAAGGCCAGACAATCAGCAACAGGCAGGTTTGGCTCACAGGGAACCGTGTCCACATGTCTGATTTCAAACTCAGCACTATTCCCAAGCCCGGAGAATAGCCAGAGGGGCTTCAGGAAGGAACCCACATTTGTTCTGGGGGTGAGGGTGCACTGCAGGCTTCCCCGGGGAACTGATGAGTTCATAGAGAAAGGTGACAAGGGTCTGTCTGCAAGCAGCAAAAAAGGAGAGCGCTAGCCTTCCGAGGCCTTTTAAGGGCCCCATGGCACAGAAGTCAGACCTGGTGGGCAGTACTCCTCACTGGCAGGGGATGAGGGGTCCCAGAACCCAGTTCTGGCTGAGGGTCACTGCCCAGTCCCCTTTAGACCGTCTGGGGTGGGGGACAGCGCTCCACAGCAAGTTTGTCTTTCTTTTCTTAGGGCAGGGGCTGTGCCAGGATCAGTCCCAGCTCCACTGGGAGGGGACAGAACCTTGGCTCTATCTAGCATCTGGGACTGGAGGGGCCGGGGGTCCCAGAGCCAGTGCTGAGCACATCTGGGTCCTCTCAACCCTGGGGCCTCGGAGTTCCTAGGCCGATCTCCAACCCTGGGGCTAGATAGGGCAGTGTGCTCTGGACTTTCTCCTGTTATCCTGGAGAGGTGGCTGCTCCCCCTTAAGTCCAGTGCCAGTGTCAGGGTTCTAGGAGCCCTTGATCAGGACTTTCCTGCCTGGAGTTTGGTTGCAAAAACTGCCTATCATACAGAGGCTAGGAGAGGGAGTGCACAGATTTGGTGAGAATTAAATGAGGCTCCCAACACCAAAGAGAACAGAGGTATGGGGAACATAATGGCTTTATTTACTGTCTCCAACCTCCTTGCAGAATTCCTGCCAACAGGCCGAACTTGGCACTTGTTCACTGAACTTGACTTACTACCGAAAAGAAAAGCCAAGTTTGTGATCGCTGTGAAGCAGGGCCTTGCAAAGAAGTTGCCAAGGGAGGGTGTATGGTCCCTCTGGGTTTTCTGTGAAGTTTGATGTCCCTGTGATGTGTGTTTCTATTTCTGTAATAGAGATTGCAGTAGGGGTGTAAAGGCATTTGCTCATACTCCAGCAGCTGACAGTTAGTTCCACAAACCTATCCTGGAGATGATGTAGAGGAGTGAAGCAGTGGCTGCCACCCCCCACCTGGCCTCCCAAAAAAGGCAGTGGAGGGAGCTGGGAATTCTCTCCTTTAGCTGTCTACAGTCTTCAAACCATTTGGGCGACTCACTTTGTTTTCATAGACAGGTTAAAAGGAGAGAGAAAAGAAAGAGTTGGTTATGGGTCGCCTGGGCAAGTGTCGATTTCAGCTTAAAGTGAATTGGAAAATTGAGCCTAATTATCCTAGGTAATTGCTCCGATTCTCCACTTGACTTTGCTAATGCAGCTCTGTCCTGTGTGTTCCAAATGATACCTGCTGTGTTCCCCTAGATCCGCTTGTCACCTTTGGAAGCTGCTGGTGTAAAGCTCTCTTGAAACGGAAAAACCAACTGTATATGTGAAGGGAAGGCAAGAAGTAAAATTAAAATGCAAGACTGAATCACCAAAGAGATCATTTCTTGTAGCTTAAAATTAATTTATTTAACAAATATAGCTATAATATAAATGATAATAAAATTTCAAATATACAGTATATTACATAGTACACACAATCCCTTCCAAAGGGATGTTTGAGAGCCATGAAAATGTACTGTTAAATAGAAACAGATTTTTTAAAATTTTACAATTTTTTTCTGGTACTGGTAAAAGAGAGGTCCCTTCAACCTACCTTCAAAATGCATCTGTGTGCCCTGCCCCTCAAAGCAATGTTTGGCTGTTGGATCTCTCTTAAATTTTCCAAATGAAGGGGCTGGCATCCAACTCCCCCAGTGCTCTTCCTTTTCCAAGACTGTTCTCATTTCTCTGCACTTTTCCTGCTTGGTGTCAGGACAAGGAGCAGCCATGCAGGAGACTCGGGGCCTCTTAGTCCTGTTCCACCCATGGCTAATTCTGCTCGGGACCTTGAGGAAATCTCTTGGCCTGTCTGGCCTTAGTTTGCCCATCTGTAACTCGAGGGTGTGTGTAGATCTAGATTTTAGAAAAGTACTAATGGACTCTTCCAGCCACTCTTCTGGGACAGGATCAGACTTTGGAGAGGAACCAGGGAGCAACCAGGAGAAACAGGGTGCAGTATGGGGGTTACAGGGAAGGGGCCAGCAGTGCTGAGCGGGGAGCTGTGGTAGGAATCCTGCTGCTTACAGATGGCTCGGGCTGGAAGAATCAGCTGGCACCACAGATGGGCAACACTGGACCACCTATGTCAGATGGTACATGCTGTACCCTACATGGGCCGTGTAGAGTCCCACGGGCGCCACTGGGAGCGCAGCACGCTGGAAGGGGCCAGAGGCACTGTAGAGCGAGGCGCCCGCCGCTGCAGCGACAGCCGCTGGACCACCAAGGGGGAAGGAGAGGCCGAAGGCAGCCGGGGGCAGCATGGGCTTGGCTGCCATCTTCAGTTTCTCCAGCTCGGCCTCCTGCAGTCTCTTGGCCTTGGCGCGGCGGTTCTGGAACCAGATCTTCACCTGGGTCTCCGTGAGGCTGAGGGAGCTGGAGAACTCAGCGCGCTCTGCAATGGACAGGTACTGCTTCTGGCGGAACTTGCGCTCCAGAGCCAGCAGCTGGGCAGTGGTGAAAGGCGTCCTCGGCTTGCGGTTGGTCTTGTGCTTGCGAAGGGTGCAGGCCGGGGGACTCAGCCGCCCTAGGGGACCACGGGAGAAAAAGGCAGGGGGTTAAGAGAGGCACTGGAGCATAATCAACCCATAAAATGGGAACGGTCAGTACCAGTGCCAGCTCCTGATACCACCAAGCAGCCTACAGAAGGCACTTGAGAAATATCTTCAATTCCCACTGCAACCCCACAAGGAAGCCGGTCCTGTCTACTTTTTGCAAACGAACAAACTAAGAGTCCAGAGGAAACACAATGATGTTCAAAAGCCTGGTGCCCACAGTAAAGGCAGACACAGCTGGGCACAGGTAAAATCCCCTTTATGATCAACGATGCCTTTCACAGTGGGACCTCTGCCCACAGCCACACACAGAGGGAAGGTGGACTGTAATACAGGCAACAAAACACATAGAAAGATACCCTGCACCCGGCCCAGGTCGCAGCGAGCCCTATGCGATCGCCAGACATTTCTCTGTGCCCACAAGGCTCAGAGCTGGGTTGGGCTGCCATTTGGCATAGATTCCAGATCTCCAAACTTCACAGGTCTCCCTTCAAACAATGAGTTGCTGCAGGGTTCTGGGGTCAGTCCCTAGGTGGGGGAAGTGGCTGTCACAGAGGGTGGACTGTGGGCTGCCCGCTGAAATATATAAAGTGCCACTTGGAGCAGTGGGGAAAAGGCGGCTTCTGATGTCTCCATTTTTTCTTGGGCCTTGAGACACATCCTAATGTGTACGACGACTTCACTTGTGGCTCTGTTCACAGACACCCATGGTGCCCAACTGTCTTTCGATTGTGGCCTGCAGATAACCCTCAAGGACGGAGATGTGGACGGAGAGCTGGCACCAGGCTAGGACGGGGCCGCTGCGCACTTCCCCAAGCTACACCGGTCACTGAACACAGATAAAACACACGCAGCAGAGTATTTCCAGGACAACCAGGATCCAGTTCACCTTAGGGTCCCTGGGCCCAAAGCCCTAAGCCAAATTCTCAAGCCTGGGAGGAAGCTCTGCCCTGGAAGCAACTTTCTTAGGGGAAGGTGGACTGCAGAGGATGGCGCACCACGTGGGTTCTGATCATGCTTTTCTTCGGGCCCCCTCCCTTTTTCCCCCTTTTTTCGCAACGATCTTTGGTCTCAGATCACCAGGATGTGAGTCAAACGAAATCTTGAGCTAACATCCCCTTATTCCCGGCTTGCTCGAGGCCACTGCGACTCCGGGAAGCGGTTGGCCCCAACTCGCTTTCCTCCGGGCCGCCAGAGGGGCTGGCGCCGAGGGAGACGTCACCTTCTTCGGTGGCGACAGCCCAGTGCTGGGCCACCTACTCTGGCCATTAGGCCCAGGGAGGGGCCGGCTTTTCAAAGACGTTTAATCCCCAGATAAAAATCATTCCTCCCCATCACGCCATTGAATTTGTGCTGCCATTATGCAGCACAAAATAATCGGAGGAAACGAGGAAAACTTGGGAATTTCCCGTGCTCCTGAAATATCTCCAAGGAGTGTTCACTGGGCAGAGAAGCCTGGGGCCCGCGAGGCCTTGGAACTAGCCTGCCCCGGGACGAGCCTTTGGCCGCTGGTGTCCTTTTCGCTGACCCAGTCGGAGAGCTTGGGAGCTCTGGACCAGACGGAAGGCGCCGTCCCCAGACTCGGTGCCTGCCCCGCCCCCTCCACGGCAACTCCGACCATCCATCCGCCCAAAGCACCAAGTATTTGCCTCAAACTTGAAGGGAGCAAAGAACCTTTCTGTAAAGAGATACAGTACTTTAAACGGCTGGAGTGAGGGACAGGCTGTGAGAAGAAAGTGAAACTCGGCGCACAGCGAAGGAAGCCCGGCTCCTACGACCCATCCTTCGGACAAATACAAAGTAACGGGCTTTAGGGTCAGACGGTAGGGTAGGGTCCTTTCTCGGGTGCGGGAAGGAGGGGGCTCCCACCCGCAGCGTCACGGCGCCAAGGCGAGAAGCCCGCGGAAAAAGACCTGGAGCTGGGCCTGGCCGGCCGAGAGCTCTTCCTGGGTGGCAGCAGCCAAGCCCCCCCACCCCGCGACACCCCGCAGCGTGGCCTCCAGGTATCCAGCTACAGGTACGCAGACTGCGAGACAGGCAGGCGCCGGGCGCCCAGGGCCCGCACCCCTCCCAGCCTGGCCCCTGCCGGGACTCAGCTACTCACTGGCGGGGGGCGGGGAGAAGCGGGGGCTCTGCATCCACGGGGTCCTCTCCGGCTTCTCGGGGCTCTCGGCCTTGACCAGCGCATCTTCCGGCAGCTTGAGGAGTCCTCCCACTGAGAAACGGCCGAGCGGACGGGGCGGGGAGGGTGCGTCCGCGGTGCCCAGGGAGCCGGCCCGGGCGCCCAGGGGCTGCACCGAGCCGCCCGCCGCCTGCGCACCCTCGGGGGCCGCCAGCGCGCTCTCCTTGGCCCCAGGCTTCCTGTGATCGGCCATCAGCGCCTCCACGCTGAAGGGCAGGAGCGACGGGGGCGCTTTGGGCTTGGCCCCCTCCTCCTCGGCGCCCATGGCGGCGGCCGCGGCCGTGGCCGTGGTGGCGGCGGGGCCCTGGCCCGCGCCTCCCCCGGCCGGCTTGGCGAAGGCGGAGTCCTCCACTTTGACACCGAGCGGCAGAGAAGTCATATCAGCAGCCGGGGCCATGCAGAGCCGGGCGCCCCTCGAGCCGCAGCACAGGCCAGCCGCCGCGCATGGGCTTCGGGCGGGCCGGGGCCCTGGCCGGGCTGCTCTCCGAGCGCGCCTCCCGCCGCTCCCGAAGGCAGCTGGGGCGTTGGGCCTGGCTCCGCGCCGCCGCCGCCCCGCGCAGGCCGAGCTCCCGGGCGCACTCGCCGCTTCGGGGTCCCGCGCCTCTCCCCAGAGAACTTGCTAATAAGGCGAGGCCCGCGCGGCGGCGACCAATCACTGCGCGAGGGGGCGGGCCCGGAGCGATCCATTGGGCCCGGCTCTCGGGGACGAGCCCTGAGGGGCGCTGAGCCCGGGGGCGCGCGGGGCTGAGGCGGCCGCGGGCGCAGAGCCGGGAGGGGCGCCCCGCGACTCAGGTCCGCTCTGTGCCCGGCCCGGCCGGCCTGATCCCCTTGCGCCTGTCTCCCCGCGCTCGGGGTGGGGTGGGGACCTAGTCGTGCTCCCCGCTGCTCACGTCTTCCCGCTTCTCTGATCGCCCCAGCCCTCCCCTCCCTTTCCCTTCCCTTCAGTTTCTCGCCACAGTTTCTCTGACCGTCTCCTTCCATCCTGCTTTTTCTACCTGTCCCCCCTGCACGATCTGTGCCCTTTTCTCCAGCAAATAATTTGAGCTCATTTCTTACAAATTCCTGTTCTAGTAAAAGAAAAAAAAAAGCGCACGGCTATCTGTCCCAGTAGAAAGACAGAATAATATTTTTTAACAACTCGTAATTTATTCCTGTTTCAATCTTCACAACGTTTCCCAGAAGTGGGCCTTTGTCTCCACCCAGGAGTTGGAGTAAAGTTGGCCGAAACCTGCTGTCCGTTCCCACGGGCGCAGGAACAGACAACGCCATTGCGATCTGGAACTGGTTTTCATTCAGGACCTATGTTTAGCTCCCACCGTCATCTCCCCAACTTTCCCGGGGAGGGTCCTGCCTCTACCCCCGACCGGCGGGGAAAGGAGCAGGCGGATCCTTTTGATAGAGCATTTACCGAGATCAAACCAACAGAAACGTCAACAAAACACTGATCTGGCCTTAAGGTGACCTCAGAGGCGTCCGCGGAAACAACAAAACGCCCCTACTTCGGGGTGGCTAGTCACCCCGGTGAAGGCGCATCGCGGGGAGGAGGCCAGGAGAAGGAAAACGGTTCTTGGGAGTGGATCCCCCGGGTTCGGCCTGGAGACTTTTGTTTTGTCAATTTCGGAGGAAACGTGATTTTATTTTTGCTGTTGGAAGAGAGAGAAAATGAGTTGGAGCCGGGGAGACGTGCGGGTCCCGCAGGCTCGGGCGATCCCGACCCTCTCTGCCTTCTCCTGTATGGCCTCTAACCCCGGCCCCGCCGGCGCTGCCGGGTGAAGGCGAGGGGATTGGCGGCTCACCCGGCCGGCCCTGGAGGGCCGCGGGGTTCTAATCTCCAGGAAACACAAGGGGCTGCCTTGGCCGTTTAGGGGTAATTATCTGAGCGGGCAGCGACAGCGAATTCCCTCGCCTTTTGACTGGGCTCAATAGAAGCTGTAGATTAGGGGCATCCAGATTAAGGAAAATGAATTACTAGACCAGGAACTTTATTACCGGGACTGCGTCCGGGCCTGGCGGAAGGGGTCGGACTGCGGACGCCAGGTCCCTAGCTGTGCGGAGGCCTGGGGCGGGTTCTCGAGTACTCGCATCTGTGCGATTTACACCGTCTCCCTGGTTTCTTCGCGATCGGAGGAGATTGCAGCTCCTCGGGCGCTGGCCAGGGCTTGGGGCATCGGGCGCGCTGGCTGGACACCCGGTGCCCTGGGGTTCCCTGAAGTTTGCCCGAGGATACCGGGCAGAAGGCCGTGCGGTCCCCAGTTAGAGCCAAGCGAGCTGCAGCTCCGCGAGGCTGTAGGCGGAACGCCTCGTTCGAAGCCCAGCGGGGCCCAAGAACTCTCCCTCGAAGTTCTAATTAAACTGTGGCGGGATAAGCACTCCAACCCCTCAGGCAGAGCCCACTCTGCGCCCGCTGGGGGAAAGGCGGGAGCGAAACAGGCCCTTGAGCTTTTTAGAGCACTATTTTAGTAGTGTGTCTTTCGGTCAGGGCTTTGCTTTGTTCCACCCTCGTCCTGCAACTCAGAATGTTCTCACATCTCTTTGAGGAGCTGATGAAACCAAGACCTTCCTCGTCGGGAAAGTGCGCGTCAGCCAAACTGCATCTCTGGCACTGGACAAGCTCCGGGGCTCTGGACCCTTTTGGAGTCCGTCAGGGGTTAGGGTCTAGGGGGGCTCGAACCGCCAGAGTGGAGCTGCGCGGGGCGGGGGGGACTCTGGCAAAACTCACAGCGGTCAGGCGCAGGAGGCCTGGCGCAGGCCGGGGCCGAGGCCTGAGAAGGGCCGCATCGCTAATTGCGGGGATAAACAATCTGTCACGATCCCTCGGCGCGCCTAACAGGCAGACGAGGATGTTGGTTTTAGGCGCCAGCGGCGGCCGGATCAAAGGCTGCAGCCGGCGCGGGGGCCCTGAAGTCGCGACCTCTACTCCAGGGAGCAAACTGCCTGCGCCCCGGGCCCCGGCCCCACGCCGGAGCTGCTTCCCGAGCGCGGCCCGAGCCCCGCCGCATCCTCGGGGTACAAGGCTCATGGCGGAGAGGACGCGTGTGCCCAGCGAAGGGCTCGGCCTCGAGCGCGCACCCGAAGAGCTCGGGGCTCCTCGGGCCCCGCCACTGGGCCACCCGGAGAAGGCGCCGGCGGGGCCGGGGGAGGGAGCGAGAACAGGGCTGACGCGCTGTTTCCGTGCCCGCCCGTGGCTCTTTCCCGGGGGAGCCGGCGCGCTGGGGAGCAGAGAGAGGGCCCATCCTGCCTGGATTTTTGTCCGGGCCTTCGCCGATTTCCGGGCTGGGGGGCTCAGGAGCTTCAGGGCTGGGGCTGCGCCTGTTATCTCGCCCCCAGCACCAAGCCGGGCGCTTCTGCCCCGCGGTTCCGGCGCCGCGGCGGAGCCCGGCTCGAGGCTGTAATTCATGCCTGGCAAGCGCAGGGCTGGCCTGCGGCAGATAAAGCCCAGCACCGGCACCCTCGCCGCCCCTCCCCTCCCGTCTGCCTCGTCCGAAGGCACTGCCTGCCCCCAGCAAAGCTCCTCTGCACCTCGCATCCTAAAGACAGCTGTCCTGCGTCCGCTGTCTGGGCACCTAACCTCGTGGCAGGGTGGTGTGGTTCCTAGATATGCGTCCCTCTTTGGCAAGAATTAACTTTCAGCAGGACTTCGTTTTCAAGGCTGCTCCTCTTGGAGCGCGGCCCCGGCTGGCCGTCGCTTCGGCACTCGTAGTCGGCTCCCTAGAGTTTTTTACGCCCCCACCCCCTTTTCCAATGTATTCTGTGGCCCGGGCCCAGGAATCCCTTGTGCGCTTTTTAAAATGTGCAGCTCAGTGGGATCCCCCGGCAATTAGGAGCCCCGAACAGTCCTCTTTAATAGAATGAATGTGCTATGAAAACCGATTACCCGGAACGATTTATTTTGGTGGGAATTCACCAATCGCCGGGAGGGCGGTGGAGGGGGGCAGCGAAGAAGTATTTTGTGCCAGGGTGGGAGTGGGGGGTTGACGAGGAGACGGAACGCTGCGCCCCTGGCTGTGCTAACCTGCGGAGGGGCCCTCCCGACCCGACCCCGCCCTCTCATCTTTGGGCCTCTGTCCCCTAGGAGTGAAAGGACGGCCAGGAGTCAGGTTTGAGAAGCTGCCTGGGAGCCCCCCCACACACACACACTCTGGGAGAATGTCACAACTTTCCAGAGAAAACCGCCCGCCGAAGAGATGAGAAATCTAGCTACTGAAGATCCCAACGCAGATGGGGAGCAGGATGCTTTCGGCAGCCCGGGACCTGTGCGGAATTCGTGTGCCTTCTGAGAGTTTTGGAACTCTTCCTTGAACTCATGTCAAAATAACTATTCTTTTGAAGTGTTCTCTCCTTCTCTCGAATTCCTCCCCTACAAGGGCCCAATCTGCTGCGGATCTGCCCGAGAGTGATGGGTTCTACCCAGCACCAAAGGGGAACAGACAGAGAGACCCCCGGTCGGGGCCCCTCTCTAGCCTCCTCCATTTGCTTCCTTGTGTGTTCAAATTGGGGAGCGGTGGGAGGTAGGATCCGGGGAAGAGAGAGCCCCCCCACCCCCAAATGGCCCAAATTAATGTGATCGGGACAAGAGGGTGCACTTGGGCAAGATGAAAGCGGAGGCCGTCGGGCTCCTCCTAGAGCTCTATAATTATAGATAATATATCCCATTTCAAAGCAATTAGACCAATCAGGCGTAACGAACCACTTTGCTGCCTACGAATAACAAAGGCGCACGGTTATTTAAGCCTGGAGATGTGGGGCAGACCCCCAGGCTCCAGGGGCAACCGAGTGCCCCCAGCCTGGCCCTGCCCAGCTGGACAAGGGCCCCAGCTCAGTTCCAGCCTGGCCTGGAGTGCAGGGTTTTGGAGGGGATGCGGGGAGAGAGCTGGGAGTCAGGCCTCGGGTGCAGGTTTCGCAGACTTCATGTAATTCTCTGGACTGTGGGAAATGGTATTATTATCTGCTCAGGCCCCCAGATGAAAGAACAGAATCAGAGAGGTTCAGTATCTTGTTCAGGGTCACACAATTAGTGGAGGCGTCAGGATCTGGATGCTGGTGAGTCTGAACCACCAAAATCCACTTTTTCCACTCCCGGGAGCGGCCTCTCCCTGGGCGTTTCCAAAACATCAAATGCTCTGGAGCGCTTAGGATGTTTGCAGGGTTAGCTGGGACCGCCTCCCTGTCCCGCCCCCAATCCAGGAAATGGGTCTCTCCCTCTCCACCTCCCCGCCCCCGGCGTCCTGGCCGCTGTCCGTGCGCCCCACCCCCCAACCCGAGTTTATCAGAGGTGCACGATCCCAGTGCATCTGAGGTCAACTCGGCCCCAGCGGCTCGCTGCACAGGCTGCCGAGGGCCAAAGCTTCTGGGGCTGCTCATGTCCGCTCCGAAAGGCTCGGAGTTGACGTGGAAGCGGTGGGGAGAGAGGCAGGCCAAACAGCCCAGCAGAGGCACCCAAGGACTGGCATCGTGAGGCCCAGAACCTGGGTATGCTGCGGTGCTCAAGGAGCCGCAAG